AACTTGATCCCGTCGCCCTAACGATTCAATTTTAAACTGTACTGGTGTTGATAAATTTCGTTTGTTTACTCCAGTCTCTCCACTAAGCGCCATAGCAAACCAGCGTTCAGCCAAGTCTCGTCCGAAGCTCGTCGTAACAGCATAGTAAAGTTGTCGTCGTGGAAAAACAACATAACGAGATCCATCGAAGTTAAAAACTGAATTTTCAGCTAAAACAAGCACACGGTCTAATGGTACCAACGATGTGTTAATAAACCAGATGATGGATCGGGGCACTGCAAATTATCGCTGAATAAGCAGACTGTAGCAACCAGATTGACTCTCGGAAGCCTAAGTGGCGAAGGCGCGACGGATTATAGCGCGAGAGAAGGAGATAAGAGTGAGATAAGACTTCTCGGTCCATTAAGTCATATACGCCTTAACTGAACACCGCGCGACAGGAGCTCGTCAGTATAACGGTCGCACTGCTTAATGGAAAAGGAAAAGAGAAAGATGACGAGAAAAAGCAAAAGGGACGACGATTTGGTAGCGAGATTAGATGAAGAGTGGGATGGAAAAGGAAGAGGAAAGGAAGGGAGACGAAAGAAAAAAAAAACGCCGAATAAAACCGCGATGCAGTTCGTGTTTCATCCTTAACTGTAAACACAGGCAGAGGAACACATGTGGGCAACAATGGGTCGGGCCTGGTAGTTTGGATTTCGGGGATCCTAATCGAGAGAAGTGGGATTAACAAATGTAAGAGAACTGAGATCTCGCTTACAAGCAAGAACTAGAAAGAGAGGAGAAGGGGGAGGCGGGGAGGGAGGTCGGAGGAGGGAAATTTGTTGCTGGAAGGTGTCCCTATGAATCTTTTATGATCAGCCTGAAAGCTGATGGATTTAGCTGCCTTGAGCCCGAGATCCAGAAGTTAACCTAAACAGGAAGCCGGCACCAAGAATATTCGCAATAATAAAATGCAGCCGTTACAAGACCGAATTGTAACCTTAAAAGAAGTGATCGGTCCTAAAAAAACACAAATTGCTGCGGACACGGACACGGAGACACACACACACACACGAACACACACACACACTCGTACACACACACACACACACACACACACA